ATTTAATTTATATGAATGTTTAACGGAATAATATACAGCCTATGTCCACCCTGAAATTCCATTCTAAATATTGGTGAAAGAATTTTTGAAATCGGATGAGTAGTTTCGGAGATTACCTGCTGCAAACAAACTTACATACATACATTACCTCTTTATATATTAGTATAGATAGTAGTACAGTTAAAGGGTTAATTGAAACTAATTATCTCTCAGATATTTTGTAAGAATCATTTAAGCTTTTCGAAAAATTACATTTATAGCCTATATTTGGCAAAATTGTTAAGTAAGAAAATAAATTGTAGAAGTATTTGATCGGTGGTCTGCCTCAAATATGTCAAGCCAGAAGGGATCTTTCATTTAGTGGATAAATGTGATGTGTAATGCATGCTCTTTCAAAGACGTTGTATATGTTAGTATTTTATACATCAAATTAGTAATTATTAAAAATTTAATTGTTTTAGAACTTGTTGCATCTACAAAACGATCATTTTTACGTTAAAATTAATCGAGAAGTATTCCCAATCAATAAAATATGAATAGAGAATTTTTCGCTTCGATCTTGTTCATTAAAAATAACTCTTAATACTGATCTAAGCTAATATTTTAAACGATTAATGCAGTCCTGCTAAAAGCAGGAGAGTAGGTGTGTAATCGAATTTCTGTATTTCAACTAAATTTCCCCAATTCATTGTAAAACTGTCGTGCGCATTTTTACTATATTATTGTATTTTTCTGTCTGTTTCTATAATCAAAACGTTCCTATTATTAGAAGCTCATCAGTGCCGAGTGGACCACTAAAACCACTAAACACAAGTAGTTGGTCGTGGATTCGCGCCCAGACAACTAGTGGCAAGTGAAGTTTTCAATGGTTTCTTCACGTTAGTACCGCGTAAATAGAAACCAGTTTTTCATAAAAGTCTTCTCGGAAGGCACTTCCACTCGGCAGTTCGCCCACGTGTTACGTTGCACTAACCAAATAAACCCGGTTTCTTATTATTATAGACTTAAATAACTACCGTTTAGCACCATTGCTGTCAAAAATATATTTCGCCTAGGTTCTTACAAGTTCAAGAGATGGTTCTACGTGGTAAGAGACGTCAAGCCATATATCTCACCACGCGGCTGCATTTATTGTGGCCTGCCAATTAGCCTAATCGATGGGTCAATATATTAAAAAAATCACTGTTAATTTTACGTACGTATTACAGAGCAAAAAGAAGCAAACTACTCACAGAGTAAAATGTGTGAACAACTAACATTAATTTACTATTTAGAAGTGGTTTTTAGTACAGATTACACCTAAATTTACAATATAATTTTATATAACTGGTCATATTAAGCTACTTTTTCAATAGTTCAGAGACACAAATATCCAAATATAACATATAATGTAGCCTATAACCTTTTGAAATTTATAATATTTACCTTTACATCTTGGTATTCATCTTGGAGATGAGCGACTTTACGGTCTTCAGTTTTTACTTTGACATTCAATCTTCTCAAAACAACTTTACATTCCGATTTTATATCATATTTAGTATCACAAATCTCCTCTTTTATTCTCTCTTTCTTACAATCTGTATTGGAATTTATACACTATTGTTTTTTAAAATATTCAAACAAACAATTGAAATAATTTAATAAAATTCATTTTATATTCACAAATATAGCATATAATTTTTTGACATAAAATATTCTTGTAAATTATGTGTTTTTATCATATCAGCCGTGGTTTGATGCTGAGAAAATGCTGTAGAACACAGCATGTCTGATGTATGATAAAAGACACATTATCAAAAACATTCCTTAAACTCATTTAGTAGTTGATATTCTCAATTAAACAATCATGGAAATTAGAAATAATTCATAAAAATTTTGCAATCATTCTCTTGGATGTTGTACAACATAACAGAAGTAAATTATTTTAACTTATCGAATATTGATCCTTCAGTGATTTCCATTTCTCCATGTTTTAACACTATATGAATCAAAAAATTAAATAAATACTTTAATCGCTGACAAACAAAGTATTATATTTCATAACTGAATCAACCAAACATTATGAAATATGTCAGGGAATATGTCAGGAATAACTCCTTGGTGCAAATACTTTGAACAGTATAGAATTCTTTACCTAACATAGGCTACACACAAATATATTTTCAGAATATCAAAGGAATATATCAAAAGACACAATAAGACAAATACCAACAGACTAATTAATAAAATTCAATTCTACAGCATCAACCTGTATTTCATTTCACTAAAAATTTAAATTGGAATTCTCTCTGTTCTTGAATACTGATAAATTGAGCTGACAACCTTACTCTATCAAAGCCAAATACTTATTTAAATGTTACCATTTCTATTTATATAAATAAAAATTTATCTCTTAACTATTCTTCAAATCACTAGAAACAATTTTTTAGTATTAAGTCTCCTACCTATTTCACTTTTATAACCAGAATTACTCCAAATACAGGAATCATTTGTGGAATTTGTAGAAGTTGACTTTCCATGAGTATTTATCTGAAATAATTGAAACAATAAGTTTCATTATTGGACAAGTTAATGTTTATACAAAAATAAATAGAAAAAGTATTTAAATTGGAACATATAGGCCTATATTCATTGATTAAATGGAATTTTAACATATATGGAAGTATTTACGTGTTAGCTTTAGTATCTTGACTTTTCAGTTATAGAAATTTATTCAAGTACAGTAGTATTATAATAAGCAGAAGCCTCACGATGCTGCATCAATATGTAAATAGCAGTTTGTTAATAATTACATTTTGAAGTATATTATATCACTCTATTGATTTGTATTAATAATACTGAATTGTTATTCTGTTAGAATTATAATAATACATTCTAAAATATATAGTGTTTTGAAGAAAATTTGAAAAACTGGATATTTTATTAATTTATTTCTTACAGATATTTTTCCCTCTCAATTTCTGTGATATAAACTGATACAGAATATCTACTTAAACTTCTATGAACTATTTAATTGTCTTTTGTTCTTTGTAATTAATATCAGTTTCAGCTCTTGTTTTTAATAAACACGTCATAGAGGCCATGTTTATTGTAAACACAATCAGTTTCATAGAGTATGTAACCGATTGTGCACAATCTATGATATATTTATCTTTAAAAATATCTGAAATCATTTGCTTTTCCCTCTTATTTTGTTAAGTAATCAATTGCTTTAATATAATATATACTGTATATATAAATAATTCAGCCATTTTTGTAATATTTTCATTCTATTGAATTAATACGTTCCAAATTTTTATATTTAATCATTTGACAGAGGAAAGTCATTTGTAATTCTATCGGATTTTTTAAGTAAATTTAGCTCTAAATTCTGAAATTTGTAAATAATTTTCGTTTTGTAGCGCTGTATTTAATAGTGATATTGATTATAACTGCAATATTTTGCTCTAACAATAGCATAACATTTACTTTTCACATAAGTTATTACGTGGTATAATATAGATGGCTATTTCTAAACAACATATTCATTGTTCCTAAATTTTATTGATTTCTACTGAACAGATTGGTTGTCAATTGTTGATCAATTGGCCATCAGGTTCATTAAATAATTGGATTGATTGCTTAAATATTTCACAGTTTAACGACCAGACTCATTCAATATACGAAATTAAGAATTACACGAGCAAATTGTTTATTGTGACATCATCACAATACCAAACTGAAATGTTTAATCACATTTTTTAATTTATTTAATGTAAAATATAGAGTTTCGGAGTCCCTCGCGGAGTCTACCTGTTTAGTCCGACTAGTTGTCGGCAACATCCAAAATTGCTCTGGCACTGGAACGTTTTCGCGCTCGCACCAAGACACCGGCGATAAACAAGTATCCGTGCGTGGGTGTAAACGGCTCTACCACGCCTACTTGGTTGACCTCTTTCGAGGTCACTCTCCCCTTTACAATCACTTCGAACCGAGGGGGAATGACGTAATCGTCGGTATACTTCCTATAATTTTTGATTGTATGTCCCGAGGCGCTATATAGCTCTACTAGTCCGGGCGCTAATCGAGGTAGTGTATTCCAATCCGTGAGGAATGCCTTTGATATTACATTTATATATTTAGCAAAATTATTAAGTAAGTAGATAAATTGTCGAAGTATTTGATAGGTGGTCTGCCTCAAATATGTCAAGCCGGAAGCGATCTTGCATTTAGAGGATAAATGTGCTGCATCCTCTTTCAAAGACGTTGTATATGTTAGTATTTTATACATCAAATTAGTAATTATTAAAAATTTAATTGTTTTAGAACTTGTTGCATCTACAAAACGATCATTTTTACGTTAAAATTAATCGAGAAGTATTTCCAATCAATCAAATATGAAAAGATAATATTTCGCTTCGATCTTGTTCATTAAAAATAACCCTTACTTCGAAGCTTATTTTTTAAATGATGAATGCAGTCTTGCTAAAAGCAGGAGAGTATGTTCTGTATTTCTACTAAATTTCCTTAATTCATTGTAAAACTGTCGTGCGCATTTTTATTGTATTTTTCTGTCTGTTTCTGTAATAAAAGGTTCCTATTATTAGAGGATCATCAGTGCCGAGTGGACAACTAAAACCACTAAACACAAGTAGTTGGTCGTGGATTCGCGCCCAGACAACTGGTGGTAAATGAAGTTTTCAATGATTTCATCACGTTAGTAACGCGTAAATAGAAACCAGATTCCCATAATAGTCTTCTCGGAAGGCATTTCCAGTCCACAGTTTGCCCACGTGTTACGTTGCTGTAACCAAATAAAACCCGAATTCATTTTATTATGGACTTAAATAATTACCGTTTAGCACCATTGCTGTCAAAAATATATTTCGCCTAAATTCTTACAAGTTCAAGAGATGGTTCTACGTGGTGAGGGATGTCAAGCCATAGATCTCACCACGTGACAGCACTTATTGTGGCCTGCCAATTAATCGATGGGTGCAATATATAAATCACTGTTAATTTTACGTACCTATTACAGAGCAAAAAGAGGCAAACTACTCACAGAGTAAAATGTCTGAACAACTAACATTAATTTACTATTTAGAAGTGCTTTTTAATACAGATTACACCTAAATTTACAATATAATTTTCTATAACTGATTATATTAAGCTACTTTTTCAATAATTCAGAGAAACAAATATCCGAATATAACGTATAATGTGTAACCTTTCGAAATTTGTAATATTTACCTTTACATCTTTGTATTCATCTTGGAGATGAACGACTTCACAGCCTTCAGTTTTTACTTTGACATTCAATCTTCTCAAAACAACTTTACATTCCGATTTTATATCATATTTAGTATCACAAATCTCCTCTTTTATTCTCTATATACGTTTTAAATATACTTTGCCATGTATAAAGCAGACGACATACGTACAAGCATTTTATTTGTTCTTACTGTACTATACAACATGGGATGCATTTCAGAATTTTTATCCCCCTTCAGCCAACCTTATATACTATTCCTTAAGTTCTATGAATCGCAAACAGAACTTACAAAACATCTCAATGCAAAAAAAGATCATAAATGTCTTATAATTCTGTTGTAGTCCTTGTATTGAGATGTTCTGTAAGTGCTGTTTGCGATTCATAGAACTTGAGGGATAGTATGCATGGTTGGCTGAGAAGAGGATAAAAGTCGCTACATGCAAGTCCATAATTTACAGAAAGATTCAATAAAATATCACAAAGTGTCTGTATGTCTGGTGTCTGTCCTATACATCAAATTACAGACCGTGTTCTATCAATACTTTACAAATAATACCCACATTTATATTGCTTTCACTTTCATACTAAAGAATTTTCTTTTTATCAGTAAAATAATTTAATAAACTTACGTTAAATTTCTTATATTAGTGATAACTTTAGTAAATCTGTAGATGCAGCATCTAAGAGAAATGCATGTGTGATATAATTAACAAGAGAAATGAACGAATGTTGTTTCTATTAATTTAATCTTTCTTAATGATTTTCAGATAAAATAAGGTAGAAAAACCTTATTCTATCTGAAAATCATATTATAATTTAAAAATATAGTTATTAATCATCAAGAATTCTTTATAAACAAAGTATTTATGCTGTTTATAGTTAAATTGATAAACCTTTTATGAGATAATTTGACTTACAAATCACTTTTATGCAATTGTATGTTCAATAACCTCATACTCTATAAATTTTTGTATAGATTTTAAGGCATTTCTAATAGCCTTGGGATAATTAATTTTTAATAACTTAAGAATTAGAGTTGTGTTAAAAGTGTATTTTTTTTATCGATAAAAAAATTTAAAGCCAAGATGATAGATACAAACTTTAATTTTATACATGAAAGAATTCATTAACTGATAATAAATGTTTTCGTTAAAAATGCTGGGGGGGTCAACAATGGCTTCATATTTCATAACTTATTTGTCAACGTAGCAGTATGGCGCATTATTTTTTTTTACATACGATAAAAAATTTGCTAGAAAATGTAAACAAATATATATTTATAAATATATTGTAGCTAACAAATGCTTGAAAGATAACAACAGAAGAGAAAAATGCTTCAGTAAAGTTTATATTTACACAAGAGTAGAAAATCAAACTTCTCATCAAATTATCTTAAAATATCCTGTTTATCCTCTAGGTGTTTGTTATAAGGATTAAATTACGTTAATATACAATCCATATAAAATTTTAACGAATTTATCTTAACCATAATTAATCACATCTTTCTAAATTTTCAAAAAGTTTATAAATTATTCAAATGATTCTCTCTTATCTTAAATATTGAGTAATGTAGATAGAAAGACGAGTAAGAGGAAGAGAGATAACTTTATGAAAATTTGAATAATATGTAATAATTTAAGTGAGAAAATATTATTATTATAGTCACGATAAAAGGCAAAAGTCACACGCGATAGTAAAGTGCCTATATAAATACTTATTTATATGAAAACAGTCATGACAGACGATACAAATGCAATGAAGGTTGTTGGATAAGAATGACTTTCTGAAAACAAGAAGAATGCTTCGCTTTATCCATTCTCTAAAGACTGTGAGATCACGCAAGTTTGAGAGTGATTCATTATCCCAACAGACGATGGATGACCAGAATGATTGGAACTTACCCTATATTTTCTAAAGTCAAATACAAGAGATAGCGGATATGTGATAACATTTTAGAAAAAATAGAAAAAAAATAGATAAAGGAAAGACGTATTGGTGTGAAAATATAACAAAAGTGATATGATTAATAATAATAAAAATATAAAAATATATATTGAAGCTTGCGTAAACAAAGATTACGAAGTGAAAAAAAAATTGGATTGATAACAAAATAAAGGATAAGCTGTCTCTTTTGGTGTGAAACTAATTTTAAAAAATTCAGAAAATAATATTTTTTATTTATTTATTTATTATAGAAAATTATAGGTTACGTCAATGGCGCTTTATTGCTTTGTGAGGCCAAAGAAAATTTGAATTAGTGGGCCCCATGTACAGTGTTT